TTCTTTCATGCTAAATCTTGTGGGATGTATAGCCTTCAGTAAATAAATACAAATAATGTAATGGAATCCCACTTGAGCCTGCCATTAATTATCTCACATATATCTTCATTTCCAGGCTGGTGATATGGGCCGGAAATCAAGACAGCTAGAAGAAATATCCAGTAAAAGTTTCGAAGTTCTTTTTTGGAGGAATTTATGATACATAGACACATACGAACCATACACACATACATGCATATATGCAGACATCTGTTTTCATATCTATACTCATTTATACACATATATATCTACATAAAACCACATGCAAGAATAGACATAACACATGTACATATAAATATGTCTCATACACATATTTATTATATATAGACACACTTATGCATATATATTTATACTGTATTTGAATTGTTTGATTGCAAGTAACAGTAAACTCACCTTGAATAGAGAATTCATAGGTTCCCAAAGATTATTTTCTTCCATCTTTCCTCTATATTCCAAGGCTGGTCTTTATGTTTATGAAATAGTTACTCAAAACTTTCACATTGAGGCATAGAAGAAAGAGTATGTCTTTTTAAATAACTTCTTTGGAAAAGTGAGAAAGCTTCTCTCTCAGAAACCCTAACAGACTTTTTCTTACTTTTCATTGTCGGAATTGGGTTTCAAACCCACCTCTAATCCAATTCCTGGAACCGATGAGATGAGATATGAAGATGGCCTTAAATTAATACCTGGAGTTTGTAGGTTATTGGGTGGGGCCTAGTGTCAGATTTTCCAGAAGAATTTAGGCTGTATAGGGCAGAGGCAGAGACCCAAAGGAAAATCAGAGTTTGTAATTAGGAGGTAGGTTGACTGAATCCTGGGTGGCCCAGATTAATAGACGTCCCTAGCCCCTGGCTCCCACACATGTTCACACACATCATCATGGTTGTCAGAATTTTCACAATCAAAGATTCCCTTTATTACTGATTTACTTCCTGCATTTCATGTTTTGACAGATTCTATCAACTAAGAAACTGAGAGTATTGTTATAACTAATTCATTTTTGCCTTTTCATGCATGAGAGACTGGTATTACCACAATGATAAAGTCTAAAGCCATGAAATTGATGTTTTATGTAACCTGGGAGACAAATACAAGCAAATATACAATTCCAATTAGAATTTTTGAAATCTTAAAAATAGCAGATTACTTGTAGGAGTCAGGGGCCTTGTTTGGGACGTGCTTTTGTAAAACGTGCCTTCTTAGGTCAAAATTTGACTAGAACTTTCTTGGCAAATGCAAAAAATCAAGATGAATAATCCATTGCACAAACAACTGTGGGCAGATTTGCTCTTTGGTGTGCCTCACCCCACCTGGCCCTCTTTCACTTTCTCTTTCACTCCTTTCTTCTCCAGTGACATGATATCACTAAAGAGGCTCCCCTGCTGGTAAAAAGAGCTTTGAAACTATTAAACTGCTTCCCTAGGCCTTTTGTTTTTTGAAAAAAAATAATAATTGTTATTATTCAGAGAGTGTATTTAGCACAACTCCCCAATCTCAGTGGTTTAGCAAAGTAAAAGTTTATTTCTTATTCACACCACAGTCCAAAGTGTGCTGGGCCAGTACTGGGCTCTGCTCCACACAGTGACACAGGGAACCAGGCTCCTTTCATCTAGGAGTTCCCAGGGCCTTGGGGTTTTCCAGTGGAGCCTGTGTATGCAGCTAGCGGATAAAAGAAGAATGATGATACATGGGGGAAACGTGAATGATTGTGTAGGCAGATTTTAGTGGCCCAGCCCGGAAGAGGCACACGTTACTCCTGCCCACATTCTAGTGGCCAGGACATAGTCATGTGGCCACACCTATTTGTAAGAGAGCTGACAAATGGAGTCTAACAATATGCCCAGATGGGAAAGGAAACAGGATCAGCTACAGCTACAGGCGTCTACGCTACAGATAGACAAACGCTCATTTAGAACCTTACTTTTTCCCTAACACAGGTACCCAGGAACATTTTGAACATCAGAGTTTTTGAATCTCAATAATTCAAATTGGGAGGGTCGAAGTCATGACTAATGGAGCTGAATCTTTATTAGAGAACAATTTGTTTTGCAGTTAACAAAGAGACAATTTTCCACGAGATTTTTTTTTTTTTATCCTAGAGGGCCCTAAGTTTACAATCTCTTAGCACTCCCAGGACTTCTAGAAAGAACACACCTGCAGACAAAACTGTAATGCAAGTAACTTACATTTGCCTCCAGCTTGGGGAGTAGACAGAGGTTGGTGGGTCTTATGAATCTCAAGGTTTGTCTTGCTGTCCTGAGGTAGTACCCTTGGAAGGTGGCAGGACCTCAAAAGGATTACTGTGTGGTTGTGATGAGGGTAGTTGGACATAAGACCTCGGGTTTTCAATCTTGGAGAAGGAGTCCTGTGCCTAAAGAGCAGAGAATCAGGGGACTTGAAGGGACCGTGGTTGGTTCAGAAAGTGGATATCTTGGCATCACCTTGTATGGACCAAAACTGGGAGGTGGGGAATCGGGACACCAGGTATATTTTTTATTTGGTCTTTATAAGATCAAATTGTGTTGTATGGCCCTAAAATGGAGTGAGGGGACCCAAATACAGTAATGACACTTTAAATTACCAGCCATTCTTTCTGGATGGGGCCATGGCAGTCTGAAATCCTTTTGTATAAAGAAAATAAAGAAATATCGTAACTCTTTCTCACCTGAGATTGTGGCTGCAAATTCACCTCTTAGAGCCATAAGAGTGAAATGAGCTCTTTGAAAGGGGATAAAGATACAATGGAAGGTACTAGAAAAGGCGTGGGGAGAGAGTGCTAGGAGAGCTACGGTTTTTAGAGTGTGGTCTGAGGACTCCTCGGGGTCCTCAAGACCCTTTTTGGGGTTCTGCAACGTCAAAATTATCTTTATAATTATAGTAAGACATGATTTGCCTTTTTCACCCATGGCCTTAAATTCTATGAGTGTACAGTGGAGTTTTCCAGAGACAACAAATTGAGTAAGAGACAGATATGAGCATCCAGCTGTCTTCTATTAAACCAGGCACAAAAGAGATTTGCAAAAATGTAAAGCAATGCCACTCTTCTCACTAAACATTTTTTGTTTGGGGTTATATGGTTATTTTTCTATTAACGTACTTTTCATTGCTCTTTTAAATGTAATCAACAACAATTTTTTTTTTTTAAATCCCAGGTTTAGTTTCTGATACAGTACCTATTGATTGATATAACCCACGTTAAAGAAAAAAGAATATTCTTTGGGAGCTTCTATTATTTTTAAGAGTGTAAAGAGGTCCTAACACCAAAAAGCTTGAGAATGCTGCACTAGGGGATCCCAGCAGAGTTGAGAAAAAGTAAATTTTGCCATTTGTGGAAAAATAACTTCAGAGAATGTGGAGCACTGAGATGGTAGATTGTTTTTCTGGAGAAGACTCTTTAGAAGAGTAGTAATAATTAAGCCAGGGGCTACTGGGCTACACAGCCACTGGTGGAATAACTGAATTTTAATATCATTTCATACAACTCATAAATCTAAAAAAATTGCAATACTGCCATCTAGTGTTCTATCATGTAAATATTTTAATATTTATTGTTTACATTCAATTTATAAAGATTGCTTCAGAACCGAATGATTATAGGACTAAATTTAAAATTGCCCTGCATTTTTGAGGTTTATTTCACCAAACATGTACCTCTAAATATCTTAAATGTCTTCCCACATTTCCCTTTATATTTAATCACTTCTTTCTTCTTAGAGTTAGGATAACTGGAGAGGGTAGGATTTCAACCTCGTTATACCTCGTTTCAGATCTTGTGTTCCTGTCATTATACAATGTAGGATGATTTAGTGTGGTATTGAGGAAACTGAATAAACAACTCTCTTCACTTTGATTATTCCTAACTCCTCTCTCCACTGGCATTTTATTTTAACAACTTTTTATTTTGGATCAATTTTAGATTTACAAAAAAGGTTGCAAAACTAGTGCAGAATTCCCATGGACCCCTCTCTCAGTTTACCCTATTTTACACATTCTACATTCCAGTGGTGCACCCACTGGATACTCGGCACAGTGGACGAAAGATTCCACATCAGGGCACATGAGTGTGAAATTTCAGAGATAGAAGCTTGGGAACCAGAGAGGGTGGGCTGGGGGAACAAAAACAGGTTATAATAAAATATTCGGACTTGGATTGTCATCAAAATTCTCAATAGCCACACTAGAGACTAGAAAACCAGGAACCAATGCTTTCAAAATTCTGAGTGAAAATTATTTCCGTCATAAAATCCTGTACTAAACAAACTGCATATTAAATGCATTGTTAGACAAAAGGTAATTCTATGGCCATGGGGTTTCAAAATATTTATCTCCCCATGCTCCTTTTATCAGAAAGTTATTTGAAGATGTGCTTATAAAGGGGGAAAAGAAACAAAGAGTGAGAAAGGCCGTCGCAGAGGTGAAGCAGTCTCTCTGAATGATACGAAGGAGATCGTGGACTCCATGATGACCTAAAAAATAAACAGTGCAGAATGGAGCAGGAAAACAGAGTTGTTTGAACAACTCAGAGATTTGTACTTCTGTCAGAGTGTTTGGGGATGAATTAGCGATAGGTATAGAGCAAATTAAATAAACATAAAGAGCAGACAGTGGATTAACCCCAGAGAAAATAAGACTTTGCATGTAAGAATGGTATCCTACATGACTCAGCTTTGAACTATACATAGGCATAGTAATGTAAATATCACATTTATTTAAACAGAAAAGGCAATCTTATCATGTTGGTTGGAAGGCGGAAGGTGAGGGAGGAAGAGAGAGAGAGAGAGAGAGAGAGAGAGAGAGAATGTACTAGATCCTCCCCACCTATACCTAGAAGTCAATGATTATCTAAAACTGAAAAAAATAAGCAACACTATCAGATTATTATTTAATATTTAAACAACACGGGAGTGAATACCAAAAGAAACAGTTAAAATTGGTTATCTCTAGAGAGTAGGGATCAAGCATTGAGATGAATTGGCTAAGGGAAAATTCTGGTAGGATTGCATGACTTTTTAAAACAATGTCCTTGTGTTATTTAAAACAGGAAAGATCAGGTAAATAGGTGACCTGCCTAGCAGGAACGTAGCACCCAGCCTGGTCCAACTCCCTTACGAATCAGGGAGTGCTGGCAGAAGAAAGTACAATTGCTCACCTTGTACAGGGTGTCTGATTTCTTATCAAGGCTGTGGCTAATCAAATGGGATCCTTTAACCCCGTTCCCTTCCTGTGTGCTATATATTTGCATTCGGAGACTCCCATCTCTGGTGAGAGGCTGTCTGCTCAATTGCCCTGCTCCTCTGGCTAAAAAGGGCGCTGAGGCCCTGGTAGCTGAGGGTTCCAGTCTGCTGCTTCTGAAACCATGGCTTTTCCTGCAGGATTTGGATGGGGGGCAGCCACGGCAGCTTATCAAGTGGAAGGTAGGAGACGCTGGAGTGGATTACTTCTGGTGTGTTCTGTATGCCTGGGGACGATGGTGGGGGTAAGGAGGTAAGAAGAAAGAAGGAAAAGGATTGGAAAGTCCCTACGTTATAAATGAAATGGTTTCCCTTGTCGAATATGGGAGGCTCACGTTCTCTTGGCCCTTTCTGTAGGCACAGGGGTGGTGGCGTGAGGGGGTGAAGACCAAGATACAGCTGTATTTTCACTCCGTCCAAACTTATCTGAGACATCAGTTTACATTGGGATCAGCTGCTTTTGTTCCTGGTTTCTTGAACTCATTGTCCCAACCCCCCTAAAAAAGGGAACAGTTTCTTGTGTTGGCTGGAAAAAATACTGGGTGAATTCTTTCAAAGAACCCCTCATCAGTTGGGAAAAGCACCCTGTACTATTCCTAGTGAGCACAGAAGCACAGAGCCTAATCTTGTACACCACCCCATTTCCTGGGGCAGCTGAGAACTAAAGGGGAGCAGCTACCTAATGGTAAAGAGAACCCAGAATGGCCGTGAAGCCTGAGTTCTGGTCTCCTTCCTACCGCACGCGAGTTGTGTGAATCCATTGTCCTCCCTGAGTCTCAGTTTCTTCATCTGTAAAATAGGAAGATTAGCTTTACTTTTCTAAAATATGTATTTCTTTCTGCTAAGGAATTTGGGATTGTTAATAGTTACCACGGAAACAATATTGATTGGATCAAATAAATGTGTAAAGCCCTGAATTAAACAAAGCTACATGAGTTTATTGTGGTAGCTTCCTAGGGTTGCTGCAACCAATTACCGTAAACTGTGAGGCTTAAACAAGAGAAATTTATTCTCTTAAATAAATTCTGGGGGCCAGAACTAGAAATTTGAGGATGAAATTAACTAAGTTAAGATGCGATCATACTGGAGCAGGGCAGAGCCTTAATCCAGCATAACTGTGTCCTTCCTATGAAGAAGGAGATATGGACACAGAGACATATAAGGAGAATACCACATGCCCAACAGAGACAGGGATTGGAATGATGCAGTAAGCTAAGGAACACCAAGGACCAACAAGCCACTGCCAGAATTTAGGAAGAGGTAAGGAAGGATTCTACCTAGACTCTCAGAGAATGCATGGCCCTGCTGACACCTGGATTTTGAACTTCAAGCCTCTAGAATAAATTTTTGTTGTTTAAGCCATCCATTTTGTGGCACATTGTTACAAAACCCCTGGAAAACTAATACACTGAGAAAAACAAGTAAATCGATCAATGAAATAACTACTGCTACAGTAAGTGCTACCTTGATAATAGGAGGCTGCAATAAAGGGTTATGTGAAGTCTCTGTGAACTAGTGTCATTTCATCTAAAACTTAAGGGACAAGAAAGAGAGAGCCATGTGACTGTGGGGAGATTTTTTTCCAGAGAAACAGAGTACATGTTGATCCTGGCACAATTCATGCTGCTTATGATTCAAACTTCAATTGCCATTTCTGGGACCTCTAGCATGGGAATGAGGAATCTCTGCTACACAGTTGCTATCTGCCATGTAGAAGACATCTCCCACGGGGGGCTGTGTGTATTATCACACACATATGCTCTGTGATACAAGATCTTTTAAAGGAGTGTCTGAACATGTCCTGAGTAGCATGGATTGAATACCACCTTTCTCACGATATGGTATCTTCTTTCATCCTCTCCCAGACAATTTCTACTTGCTCATAGAGGTTGCCTGAAATAGGCTGGCCCTCTAGGAGTAAAAACAGAAGCAATGCTCTTTGTTAGTTTCCTCCTCAGAAGAGGAGGTCTGGCAAATCAGAGAGGGGACGGCAGAGTACTGGGATGGAGTGAATAGAATCAGGTTCTAGAAGTAGCAGAGTGTGGCAGTTATGGCTTGAGGTTGGTCTCTATTTGTTACTAGCTTTGTGACTTTGGGCAGGTTACTCAACTTCTCTGTGCCTCCTCATATGTAAGATGGGGATTATTATGGTATCTACTGTATAGCATAGCTATGAGGTTTAATTGAGATAATGTATGTTAAGTGCTTTGCATTTAGTAAGTGCTCTTCGTATGTGGGGCAGGATCACAAAAGGATTACTGAGAATGATTCACTATAGAACTCTGCAGTTAACTTGGCATACATATGCAGTTAGCTATACAAGACAATGCAGAGGGTTGCAATTACCAACTTCCAGTTGCTGCTAACCTAGGACCTGGAGGTAGCCTTGACTGGTCCATTCTGATCTCCTGTCTGCACAGGATCTCAGTGTTGCTGCACCTTTTCTGTCTGCCTGGAGGCAGTTTGTCCCATGCTCTTCTGCACTGGGCTTGCTTCTGCCTTATCTTAAGGTCTTTTTTGGTGACCTTTAAGTTGCTATTAACTTTATAAACAGCTTTCAGGGTAGGGAACTTGATCCAACATGCCCTGCCAAGAGCCATCAGCCTGCTATCATTGTCAGCTCACAGAGCGATTTTTCTGTTTGCTTGTTTTCCACCCTAGGAGCTCTTATCTATCCTTTTGTGCTGTGTTTGAATCCTAGCTCAAGCACTTACTAGCAGAGTGATTTGGGGCAAATAATTTTTTTAAGCCTCAGTTTCCTTATTTGTAAAATTTGAAAAATGGTCATGCCCTCTTTGTAGATTTGTTGTGGGTATTAAAGAGTTTAGCATATGTAACTGGAGCACAAGAGTGCCCGGCCCACAGTGCTCACCAAATGCTAATACTGATATCAATACTATCATTATTTTTCTTTCTGCTGGCTGCATTCTCCACCACTCTGTACATTGTCTACTCCATTTAGTGGGTATGGTCATTTTTTGTTTTGACTGCTAATCGGGATATACTCCTCTGTGCTCATTCTTAACTTGTTCTGCCAGTAGCTCCCAGGAAAGTTACTGTTTAACCATCTCCTCCACCATTGCCTGGATTACAGTCAATGTGTGGCTTTGACAAATCAATGCGGCCTGGATTTAAAAGCTGAGGACAGCCTGTCACTTTTCAATTTTGATAATCTTTGGACTTTTGTCCTGCCCTGGCTTCTGAAAGTCAACAGAGCCTTTGGAAGTTGCAGACACTCAGCAGAACTGAGGACTGATCATGAATCGTATTCGTAAAAAAAATCTAACGTTTTGGTGATTTGTTATAAAACATTGCCATGTATCTCTCTCCACTGATTTTCAAAGCACAGTTGTCTGTGTAGGTATATTTGTTTTCAAAAGCTCTCTTGAAAGCCCTGAGGGATAATTGGCACACCCTCCCTCACCTTTGCACAAAAATGGAGGTACTTTGGCCCTGTTCCTGGAATAGAAGGCACTGTCACGATCTTTGCAGGCGGGACCCACCGGGAGGGGCAGGGCCTTCTGGTCACTAGGCCTCCCGTGACGCTGACTACTTGGTTGCATATTTCACCAGGTTCACGGTCTTTCCTTCTTCCTGTCCCTTGTTCACGTCCCCTCCGCCTCTCCTCTGGCTACTTCACTGTTTACGGTTTTAAAGAAGAGTTTAATGTTTGTTATATCAGAGTTGGCTGTGTGGTGCCTTGAGCCTTTTGGGGGAAAGCACAATATAAATCTAATAAATAAATAATAAATAAGGGGTATAAGCAGGAGGAAAATTATGTGTTTTAGGTGAGTTGTAAAGAACCTAGTAAAACCTATAAAATGTGTTCCTTAGACCAAGAGGCAGGGAAGAAAATGCAGAAAACCGTGGCACATATAGAAGTGAGTCTCATGTAATATTTTTAAGTACAGAAAAATTCCCATGATTTTTAACCCTTTGTGAAACTGACTCTGTCCTCTGTTTTTGGTTGGAGGGAACAAAAACAGCAGGTAGCTGACTGGTATTTTGTTTACTTTCTTGGTAGGCCCCCGCAGAGCTATGAAAATGACATTTAGGACCCAATTCTATACTTCCTGTGAGCTTATAATTCCCAGTGATTTCAGGAAGGCTCTTAAGGGGTGAACATGCTCTGCAAAATCCCACAAATCCTAAGCAAAGTCTAAACTACTTTGTTAATGTTTCCTACTGGGATCTGAGTCTGTGGTTCTTAAGGAGCCAATGACCTCAGTTTTATGAATGCCATTGGGAACCTTTCATACTGTCCTAGATGCTAATATAATGCTTGATTTCGATTTAACTTTATGTTGGCAGAAATGGGCCTTGCCTCAGACTTTGGCCGTCTATTTGTCTTGATGTGTTAAAGGTGGAATCCTATAGTTAAGAAATTTGAGGTTATTTTTTCCATGAAAAAGATGGGAAAATGAACAGGGCAGTTATAACTGGTGGTTTTAGGTCGGGTTTATGGTGATTCTATACAGGCTGTTTCTTCTCTGGTCCTTTTTAAAAACTCAACTGGTCCATACAAACCTGAGTTAGAGACACATCTCATCTACCTGCTGTAGATGTCAGCACACGCTTCATATTTCTCTAGACCACGTCCTGTTTGCTTTCTCCACTCAACTACTTTCGGCTATATGTCTTGGTTTCTATTTTCTACTAAACCCCTTGGATTGATCTCCTGGCTGCCCTTGGTACTTTTCTGGAAGAGGGATAGAAAGATAGATCTATTCTCCATTTGACCACCTTAGAAAGAAGGAGGGAGAACAGACTTAAAAGCATGGCTGTTTATTTCTTGGTGTGTAGGGAAAGAGGAAGATGAGAAGTGAACATTTATCGTGAAATATATCATGGCTTAAAAGGTGATATGATAGAAATCACCTTTATTTCTTTCCCCCAGTTTCAAATTTGAGATCGACAAAAATCTCAAAAATGCCCTCCTTTTTTATTGTACCATGCAATTAATGATGCAGGCAGCATGGAAGGAGCATAGGCTTAGGGAGGGATGATATGCAAATATTAATCCACTAGTATACCACCCACACTAACCAATCAGATACCAACTGCAAACAACAGGCATAGTCTAGACTGGCACTTGCATTGACCTGTCAGAGTGGACAGCAGCCATTAACAACCGTTGGGGCCACATTTATATGTATTGATTGAACTTCAGCTTTGGGCTTAGG